ACGGGAATTGTATTTTCTGACCCTTCGCACCCTAAATCAAATTGCGAAGGTCCAAGGGGCGGGGGCCTTTTTTTTCCCGACCCTTCAGACCCCAAATCGGATTGCGGCGGATCCGACGGGTGAGGGGATGTTTTTTATGACTCTTGTGACCCTAAATCGGATGGTTGAGTGTGCGATGGTGGGAAGGGAGGAATTTTGGATTTTTTGTTGAGGATGTAAGGGGGAGGGGATTTTTTTCTGTCCTGTCCCCCTGAATCGCATTGTGAGGTGTCGAAGGGGGGGAAAGGAGGAATTTTTTCTGACACTTCTGACCCTAAATCAATTTTTTGTGTGTTCGACGGGGAGAGGGGTGATTTTTTTAGCCTTCTGACCCTAAATCGATTTGCAAAAGGTGCGAGGAGGGTGGGTGGAGTTTTCCTGCCCCTTCTAACTTTAAATCGCATTGTGGGAAGTTCAACAGGGGAGGGATTTTTTTTACCGTTCTGACCCTAAATCAGATTGCGGTAAGTCCAAGCGTGGGGGGGGATTTTTTTTCTAACCCATCTGACCCTAAATCGAATAGTTAAGGGTACGATGAGAGGAGAGGATGGGATTTTTTTTGGACCCTTCTAACCCTTACTCCCATTATGGGAAGTCCGAGAGTGGGGGGATTTTTTTTACCCTTGTGACCCTTAATTGAATAGTAAAGGGTCCGAGGGGGGTGGGGTTTCTGACCTTTCCGACCTCACATCGAATTATGGAAGATCCAAGGGGAATTTTTGTTTTTTTGTTACCGCTGCATTGGGGAGTTAGGTATTGTTCCTGACCCTTCCTGACTCTTAATCGCATTGTGGCAAGTCCAAGGGGAAGGGGAATTTTTTTTACCCCTGTGATCCTAAATCGGATTGTTGAGGGTGTGATGGGGAGATTTTTTTTACTCTTCTGACCCTTAATCGCATTGTGGGAAATGCAAGGTGGTGGGGGGGTAATTTTTTTTTTTCGACCCTTCGGGCCCCAAATCGGTTTTCGGCGGATCCGAAGGGTGAGGGGATTTTTTTTCTGACCTTTGTGATCCTAAATCAAATAGTTGAGTGTACGATGGCGGGGATGGGAGAATTTCGGATTTTGTTGAGGATGCAAGGGGGAGGGGATTTTTTCCTGTCCTGTCCTTAATCGCATTGCGGGATGTCCAAAGGGGGGGGGGATTTTTCCTGACCCATCTGACCCTAAATGAAAGATGCGAGAGGGGGCGTTTTTCATCATCTTTAATCGGATTGTTGCGGTTGCGAGGGGTGAAATTTTTCCTGACCCTTCTAACCCTTAATCGAATTGTTTCGTGTTCGATGAGGAGGCGGGCATTTTTTTTCGAACGCTTCCGACGAAGAATTTTTCCTGACCCTTCTAACCCTTAATCGAATTGTTTCGTGTTCGATGAGGAGGCGGGCATTTTTTTTCGAACGCTTCCGACGAAGAATTTTTCCTGACCCTTCTAACCCTTAATCGAATTGTTTCGTGTTCGATGAGGAGGCGGGCATTTTTTTTCGAACGCTTCCGACGAAGAATTTTTCCTGACCCTTCTAACCCTTAATCGAATTGTTTCGTGTTCGATGAGGAGGCGGGCATTTTTTTTCGAACGCTTCCGACGAAGAATTTTTCCTGACCCTTCACAAACGGTACAGGGGGGAGGGGTCAATTGTTTCCAGACTCTTCTGACCCCAAATCGGTCTGTGGCGGGCGCGAGAAACGGGTGGCGGGGGGAATTTTTGTTTTTTTGTTACCGCTGCATTGGGGAGTTAGGTATTGTTCC